TTTAATCGCTGTTTTTTTCTCCGTCTGAGTCTTTCCAGGTTTTAATAAATTTTTCACCTTTGACATTCCATGTTCCTCTCAGAGCTCTTAGTCATTCTAAATGAACATTATCAGAAAACCGAGACAAAATCAGAAGCCCTCTCTGTACCACAGATCTTCTGAAATCATATTGATTCTAAAACAGTTTCTCAGGATTGCATAACTTTCTTGAGTTGTAATGACAGAACAATATGCAGCTTCGGGTTGTTAAATATTGTCCTTCAGCACCTTTAGGCAAACTAAATCCATGTTCCAGTGTATGATTAGGCCAGAAATGTTAGAAATCTGCTTCCTTGTTTCATTATGTATAGCCGTTTCGAACCACGTCTTGGATTTACACCATCTTTCTCCACTGAATGAAAATTTTATATAATGTAAATTTCCCAGCAGCTTTAAATACTAATGTTAATGAATAAAAATCAGATCATTATTTATTATTTGCCTCTTCTTTAAGAGAAGATATGTCACACAGATAATGCTTGCATCTCACACACAGCAGCTGTCATTCTGGGGTTATCAAGGTTAGGAATGTGGGGAAATACACACTGCGTGCATTCTCAGTAGCCCGGTCTTCATTCTCCCCATTGTGTAAACTTTTCTTGTAAACTGAAGTACTTCTGCTAAGGTACCGAGTGGAACTGCACTAATCTTCTTTCTAAACACATTACTGAGTTGTGTGGGCTTTAAGGCCCCAGGAGGCAAACCAGATCTACCGGTTATATTTCTCAGCCGACCTCCATTCACCCTTTTCACATTCTGCGTTTTATCCCTCCTGCATCTTCATCTACCTTCCATCCTCATCCTCATCTCCCCCTGCAGCTCTGCAGACACACATTTTAACATCCCCGTCGCAACTTTTCTGAGGAATAAATTCTTCACAGCAGTGAATGGCATCCATGTTTATTTGTGAAAATCCACATTACACTTGTGGGGGGTTTGTCTGTATCTGCCTCAGAGTTTGAGTGAGGAACCTTTCGCTTCTTCAACAAACACTTCATGTTTTTGCCACACTATTAATATATTTATCCAAACTTTTAAGCTACACATTTAATTTGTACAGAATATTAGACACTAAATGTCTGAACCCTGAGTTTATGCATTCATTTATTAATTCGTATCAGAGAGGTCTTAAAAAAAACACAAGCTCACGCTGTGCTTCATAAACAACTTCCTTGGTGTGTTGCAATTTATGAAGACACACAACATTTAGAGGTCTGGATTATCACTTCCCGGCATATAAAGTTAATACTGATGAGGGAACAGTATATTTGATGACCATGCTATATTATTAGCCCAAAACACTTCAGTCAGAAACTTGTTGTTAAATATAAGCCTTGTGTGTTAGATTCCATAAATTCCTTTCAATCATTTAAAAGCCTGTTATTTCATGACAGACATCTGTTTCCCTTCTGAGGCGAATGAACTCTGAAATGGATCCCACCAGAGCAGAAAATGAATCACAGGGAGCCACTAGTTCAAACTTCTGACTCGGAGCCCCTTCAGTACCTCTCTGTGACCTGCCATCCTCTACAATGACCTTCTCATGACCTCTTGTAGTGCCATAATAACCCCTGTACACGTCCAACAGAGTGAGACAAACTGGCAGAAATCTGATATCTCCTGCCCACTTGCTCTACCTGTCACTAACACACATCATTTAACTTTGACACAAAAAGCAACCCAGAATCTGAACCTGTTTTTTTAAAAGTTACGGAGTGAACCTGGGCACACAGAGCGAACATGTTTCACCAAACATGGATAAGCAGCACACGGCTCGTTCATTTGCCCTTCGAGTCACTCAAGTTACGCCGTGTGGTAGAAAAAATCTGCATCTCAGTGGAGTGGTGCATCTTCAAACTAACATCATTTGGACAGGAAACAAGACTGTGGTGTGTTTGCCCTTCACTAACCTTTAAGGTACAGAGCATAAACAAGGGTATGAAAAGAATCACAAGACAAACAAAGTGAATAAAACTTTAACGTTGTTGGACAAGCATCAAACGATCATTCACGTTTGAAGGAGTCTGCTGATATCGGCAAACCGCAACCAAAAACAGCCGTCTTGCTTTTCCTTCTCGTTGCTCAGCTGCACCCGAGTGTCACATCAAGAATACTCTTGATTTCCAATATTTATGGGCTGTTCTGAATTCTTCCAACAAAAAAGAAACAGCAGTTCCTCTTATGAATAAGATGAAATGGAAAAATCTCAAACCTGTCACTCACTTAATCCATCGCAGAACAAAAGATATCCTGATTACGGTCTTTCACGCCGAGACCCAACACTAAACAAACTGTCAACAGGCAGTCAAATCGCACTGGAAGCTGCAATAAGGTAAACATTACATGCAGCCAATCAAAGGGATACACGAGCAAGAAGCTGTCATGGAGCAGTGAGACCAATAACAGATTATCTGCTGCTATCACAGCCCAACGAAGGTTTAAAATGAATTAAAATTATTCTTCAATGCGTCATCTACCAGCTGCAGATAATCTGTCCTTGCCGTTGTACAAGAAACGACGTGATTTTATTTCTTACACATGTAAAAAATACTATAGACATAGTTCTGCACACTCACAAGAGCAAAAAACATAGCATATTATTTCTCTAGTTGATTAATAAAACTTTTTTTTTAAATCTGAGATGAACTAAGCTGAATGAATTGAATGGACACAATTTCCACTAAGAAACACACAATATCAGCCATAGATTTAAATACGCCTGTCTTAAAAAGTCGGTTTTTGGTGAAAACAAAATAAATAACTTCAAATGCTTCTTCTACCGTTTATGAGACGATAAAAAATGTCTTTGAATCCCGCAACACAAACTTGTCTCAGACATTTAACTGATGCTGTACACACAACATATTTGGCACACAAATAAGGAGCCAAATTGGTTTCATCTTTGTATGTTTATTCCCTTCAGACACTACAATGCTGACGACAGACAGCATTAAGTTTTGAGTCATTACAGTGGCTGCACCACTTCTCTGTGTGTTTTGGCACACAGCTAAGGCAAAGGTTGTTTTGTCTTCTGGATCTGGAGACAATTAGTGGCTGGAGCAGAATTCAAAATGCCAGAGACATTCAGAGAGTGGGCCTACAGTTTCACAGTGGTGTTTTGATAGAGAGCTGTGAGAAAGAAAGAAAGAAAGAGCACCCATTCCCTCTCTGTTGTCTCTTTCCATACTGGAAAACAGATTGTTCTAGATAGGATTAATCCATGATGCATGATTTTGGTTTCTGAAATGAGTCTTGGTTGATCTCTGGTTTATGTTTTCAGATCCACGCTTTCCATCAGACCTCTTCTCTCCTTTCAAAACACAAGAGTTGTGTTAAATTGAACACATTGGGTTATGAGAACATTACAAAGCACTTCCGTTAACTTGTGATGAAAAAATATGTCCATACAGGGGCTGTCATTTGAAATGATGGTTACCTATGCCACCTGCACCTTCAGTCATCAGATAAACACACTCTGCTCTGTTTGGCTGGATGAGGTCCTGTAGCTGTGATACACATGGCACCGACTTTCATCTCTTAACTCCCAGGGCGAGAACGCTCCTCTCGTGTCCACCACCCAAAGCTAACACACACATGGTCCAGGGTATTTTCTGCTAGTGGTGGAAGTTATCCATCACATTTCCATTCCCACCCCCAACTCCATGGAGCCCCTCACAGTCACTTCATCTCTTCCCATCACATCTGCCAAAACATTTCTCCCACGCTTACAGTGTCGACACTTTTCAGAGGTTTCCCTGAGGAAAAAAAAAAAAAAGGCCTATATGTTACCCCACAGGCATGATGGGAAGGGTTTAGAGTCAGTCGCCACTTGAAATACTGAGACGTGTGTGTATTGTTCTGCACCAAATATTAGTTTTCTACTTGGTCGGTTATTTGAATCTGTGAAACCAACCAGCAGGTCAATCAGTCTAATGCCAAATAAACACAATGAGATATGCAGAATCCGCAGTCATTCATAGAAGTGAGTTAAAATGCTATATTTTTTAACTGTAAAAAATGAAACATTTATAAAGCAGTTTAAAAACAAAAAAACAAAAACAAAAATAAAACGCAACCAGATTGCACAAGTGGGCACATCCCTAAACTAGATGTTAAAGGGCCTTTTCATTTAATTGCAACATTCAGTTTGCAGTAGGAGTCTGTCAGCCTCCTACATTTACAGATTTATCATGTTTTGAGAAGATCTATTACCAACAGACCTTATTTCACTTTGTGCTGTCCTGTTTTTTTTCTTCTACCAATGTTAGTGTTTTGAAATGAGGCCTAAAAACCTAGTTTGGCTTCATCAATTCATTACTCCACATCCTTTGAGAAGATTGTAGTCAAACAGTGAAGTTTTCTTCAGACTTGTTTTATAGCCTTACTCCTTTAATCAGGGATATGGACAAAACACAAGACTTATCAGATAAAACATGTGCAACCTAAAACTCCTGCAGCACAATTAATGCTGCTTTTGGCCTCTTTGCAGACTCCTTAACCTCTTTGTGCCTTATATTTTTATTTAATTGGAAGAAACATGCAGCCACGTCACCGCCGTCCTGTTTGTTTTTTTGCTGTCACTAGTTAATGCCATCAATGTTCCAGAGTGTATATCTGTCCAGAGATCGAACTCTGTGGAAGTTTTTTGTTCTGACAGAGCAAATGTTGGCTCCAACTACAAAACCGCCGCCGCATCTTCATGGAACATTAACAAAGTCTGAAAAGACCCAAAGAAATTGAGAGAAAATTAAATTTGAAAAGAAAACTTGGCCGTTATGAAAGTTTATTGACAAAGTATTCATAAAAGTGAACAAAACAGAGTTTGAGCTTTCAACCAGAGAACCATAAGTTTTTTCAGTCTGTAAATCTGTGCTGCCATCTAGTGGTTTAATGCATTAAAATGCATCTGTGAACCAACAAAAATCAATAGAAAGCTGAGAAAAGGAGACAGAATAAGCACCTCAATACTTTTTTCTTTAATCATTTATTATAGGATACAAATACTCAAATTTTTAAACTGACATATGAAAACTGGAGCTAAAAACTTGAAACATCAACATTAAAGTTATACATAACATTTAAGGAAAACACAAAGTGAACATTCTGACAAACATTTGTTGGGCAGGAACTTGTTTTTTTTTTTTTAACAAACAGAAGCAGGTAAATCTTGTCTGTCTTTATAAACAGTTTGCCTCAGACAGGAAGCTCTTTAAAAGCTCCCGCAGGTTCTGAACCTCTGCCTCGTCTTCTTCTATGGCCTTAGAGCAGAGGCGCTGGACTCTGCTGTGCAGATCCTCCAGACACTTCTGCAGGAGGTCAAAGCACAGGAAACATTTGGTGAGAACAGAAATGCGGAAATGAGAAGAACCATATTCTAAGAAATAAAAATAATGGACCCAAAAATTGAAATTAAATAAATTTATTCTAACCACCCATCAAATGCCAAAGACATATTCCACTCCTCTCCTCAAAATCAGTTATTAACAATTTAATATCACATTTATAGAAGTACTGTATGGTAATAATGAAGAAATTAAAGGAGAACAAGTGGTTCTTCTAAAGGAGAAGACTGATTTCTGAGGAAACGATAGTAGGAACGTTACCTCAGTTATGGCCAGGTGGGTTGCAGCTGTTGCGAACACGGAAACCAGGTTATTGGCTACGGTTCTCCTCTCTTCATTCGTCTCCTGCAGCACCAGGTGGTATCTAAGGAGAGAAGGCAGAAAAGCTCAGAGAGAAAACTACGACGACGCATCTTTATTGGTTTGTTGCTTCAGTCGGACTTTTAAGCAGACATTAAAAACACGAAACGTAACACTTGAATTTGGAAATTCCAGCAGTCCAACGATGTCACATAAGGCACACGACTTCCCCTAATGTGTTGAGTAATCAAGCTGATTTATTCAATGAGAGTTTATGAAGACAAAAAATAGAAATATGCATGACAACAAAACACCAGGAAGCCGTAAAGTCTGGGTTCCTGTGTATATGTTGTGTAAAAGTTCAAAATTTTTCAAGAGCCAACTTTTTTTCTTCATTGGTCTCTATTCCTTTAAAAAAATGTAAAGCTGTGACAATAACGTAAAGTTGTGCATATGCAGGATTTAAAAATAGGAACCGCTGCAGTTCTCCAACAGTAATTACAGGTCTTCATCCAACATAGTGGACAAACGGCAGCTAGAAGAAATAGGCCTCAGTTGGCTTTTTCTTCTTAATGAGGGAAACAGAAATGAATGGATTATTATTGAAAAGCTTCCAGGTATTGATTTATGCTACTGAAATACTGTGCGTGTTGCAGAGGCGTTAACGGATGTTGCCTACTGTTGTTGCGCTCCCTTCAGCTCTTGCACGGCCTCGTCGTAACCGTCATTAACTTTCTTCTGGAGAAGCTTGAGGTGGTTCTCTGCAGACTCCACCTCTGCTGCCCAATCCTGCTCCTCTCGGGCCAACTTCTACAGGAGCATACCTCATCATCAGGCACATACAGAACAAGAGTTTCTTTTATATAAAAAAATAAATAAATAAACTTACCTGCATATCAGTGTCCAGCTGTTCGTCCAGCTTACGGATCTGCTCTCTGATCTGCTTTAGATCGTTGGACTTGTCCACAATGTTAGAGTTGACCTAAAAGACAAAAATACTACTAGTAAAAATCCCGAAAAGATGTGCATGCAACATTTCAGCACCAAAAAAAAAAATAAAAAAATAAAAAATCTATTGTTACTTGTTCGCAAGACTCTTCCAGGCTGAGTTTCAGGTTTGACAATCGGCTGTTTTCTTCCTCCACATCACTGATCAGCTTCCTCAGAAGCATCTACAACATGGCACGAAGAAAAAAAAAAAAAAAAAAAAAAAAACACAAAAAAGTTTCAGTTTTAGAGATATAATTCTGAATTAAAAGACGATTTGATTAAACTTTTTATTAACTTCAGTAAAAGAGAGAGAGTAACTGAAACTGCAGTGTTATTAGCTGAAGGCACCTTGATCTGTGTTTTTTGCTGAACTCCACTGCCAGTTCCACATTCAAATGACCTGATCTCAAAGTCATGACCGCAGGCGTTTTCCGCAGACATCGGTATCAGTTTCAGCTTCCGGGCCAGCTTGTGGTACTCGGCCACCTTCAGGTCCAGCTGGTATTAAAGGAAATGACATACAAAGAAAGGCCTCAGTTCAAGTCAGAAGAATGTGCGTCTTCCATCCAACGCAACCCGGCAGGTAAATGTTAGATACACGTACCGTCTCCTTCACTTTCGCCAGCGCGATTTCCTCATTCCACCTGTGCTGTTCGGCGTCCTCAAGCGACTTGGTGAGACTGGCGATGGTCTGCTGAAGTTCTCTCTTCTCCCTGTTGATTCTCTCCACATCAGCTGGAGTAAACTTTTGGTTCTGCAAGAGGTGCTGAAGCTCGTTCCTCTCGTGCTTCAGCGTCTCCAAGTGGCTGACTGAAACGTTGCAAAACAGAACAATAAACACAAAGGCACACAAAGTCCCTTTATGCGACTAGAAACGTTGTTTTCTCTCCATTTTTATTGGTCTTTTTAGAGTTTGTCTCTGACTTTCTCTTGGATAATGCAACTGAAAGAGCATTTCATGTCACAAGAAGTTTGTTTTTCCATCTTAAGAGATTTTTACTCCTGGCTCAGGAGCCTCCATATTTCCCTCCTAAATCAAGTCAGTAAAGGAGGTACTACTCCTTTTCATGTGCATGCTGGGTTTTCTCAAACCTGAAGTCACTCCAGCTCTGATGGAGGTTTCTACTAAATTAATCACTTGAATCAAAGTTAAATCAAATGCAAACACGTTGCAGAAATGTGTGACCCCTCTGACCAGAGGGGATTTCTTAGCAGTTGCACTTTTTGATGCACTCAAGTACAACTGGTACAACAAAGATTCCTAAAACATCTCTGATTATTTTTAAGTATTGTATAAACTACCTATATATCCAGGCACCATCTATCCTGATTATCTTTATTAATTAAAAAAAAAAAAAAATCTAATCAAGTAAGAATTGAACTGAATAGTGACTGACATTATATTACACTATATTAAATTAAATCCAGAAACACTGTAGTGCTCTAGTGTCGACATTTTCAGGAGAAAAACAGTTAGCTGCTCGTGTTTACCGGTGTTCTCCAGCTCGTCTGTCAGTTCTGAAAATTTGTTCTCCAGACTGGCTGTAAACGTCTCCAGTTTGCTTCGATAACTCTGCAGCTTCTTCAGGTCCGCCTGCAGCTTCACCTTCTCCATCCTCTTTGTCATCAGACGGTCCTGTGGAAGGAAGATGGACCAAAAATGACCTGAACCAACAAAAACACTGCAAAGTCCAGCAAACAACAATGAAGAGTGAAGGCAGAATTTTTATTTTTTTCTAAATCACAAAAACAGTACATTTCTTTACATAAATAATATCAAGTATAATTTTACATTACTATACTTTTTTTGAGCAACAAGTTTTTCTTACCGTCTGACTCTCTTTCTCTAGACGCTCCAGTTCCTTACTGAGGAATCGGTGTTTCTCCTCCATCGATTCCAGCAGAGCCTCGTCAACGTTGTAAAGTCGCTCTGTGGGGGAAGACGTGCGCCTTCATTTTATTTATTTTTTTTTTTTCCTCACTAAAACCGTGTTTTTTGAATCGTACTCTAATTTGAAGCTCTGGGAACTGCTATACTTACTCAGTTTGGTGAGGAACGCCTCATCCTCCTCCTCAAAAACATCTTCACCATGCATGAACTTGGAGTAGGTTTCAGCCATGTAGTCAAGGAAAAGCTGCAACACCGAAATGTATTTGTGCATCAAGTTATCGACTTTGATACAGCAAAGACGATTGAATTGGTTCTGGTGAAAAAACTGAATCTAACATACAGAGAAAACGGTTTTGTACGTGCTTCAAGCAAATTAGTTTAAATTGTTTTTCACTAAAGCTTTTTTCTGTTTGTTTAAGTCAAGGCATCTGGATTACCTTGTTATATTCAGCTCCTTCCTCGATATTGGCAGTGTCCTCACAGAAGTCGCTCAACAGAAGCTCCTGTTTACTCAAACTCCAGTTGATCTGAAACACAAGTGGTTAGAAACCTTGAACACTTGTACTTTTTTATTACATACATCTTTAAGGGGGCCCAGGGTTCTCCCTAAACAGTCCAGTGTTTCTGCAGTCTTCTCACCTTGACGTTATCGATGAGCCACATGAGAGCACCCAGAGCCTGGGGCCACGTGTGTGGAGCTCCAACCGAATACATGGAGCACTTGGAGAGAACGAACGGATATCTTTGTAGAAACAAGAACAGGGGCAGAGAATCAGCAATTTTCCCATCAACTAAAGAAGAATATTTGCATAAAACAATTTAAAAAAATCCAGACTTGACGCATGGTTAATTATTTTGTTATACATTTTCTATATCAATTATCTGCCATTAAATTTGTTCTAAGTTATTCTAAATTGCTCCTTTAAACGCAACCCCCCACCCCCCCAAAAAAAACTAAAATATTTTCTCAAATCATAATATAAGCTAAATATTGTGTACAGTCCACATAATACTAAAAGTATGAAGACTGAACTTTTACCTTAAGGCTTTGAGCAGAGCTGGAACCTCCTCTTCAACTTTAGAGTTTGGCATCTCGAACGTTGGATCAAGCTGGCGGTAGATGAACTCAAACATCTTTACAAACTCCTTGGTGGAGGGCGACTGCAGTGTTTTGGCCGACAACGTTCCTGGGTAACCCTGTTCTGTCAAGAACTAAAATAATACATTTAAAAAATATATTTATTATTAAGGAAAATCCCGAAGAAGTGGCTTTTTTTCCCCCCCCAAACATGCAACAAACATACATAATATTTAATCAATATCTTTGCACAGAAAACATCCTTTTTAAAAGCGAGCACCCACACCACGTCATGGCTTGGGTGGTGAATTAAGCTTGAAAACTTGATGGCTAAAACAGAAATTACACAAACTACTAGTTCACATCATTATGGATGACCTTTCATAGAAAAATATATGGGCCTTACCTCGTGTAGCTGCCTGATGCATTGCTGAACAAAGGATTTATCATGGAGTGGTCTGGAATCTTTAATCTTCTCAGTTCCACCAAACCCAGCCATGGTGCTGTTGCGCGGCATGCTTGCACCACTAGTCCTGGAGTAAATGATCAATACACAATAAAAATACATAAATAAATTTCCATTGTGATGTTCCCCTTCTTAAGATGCGTTTTAAGCACTAAAACGTTTTGTCTATTTTTTTTACAGTACACAGAAATTATAAAATGAAGACACATCTCCTTGGCATTAATGAATAAATCATGGTTACTTTACTTAATCCAACTTGCTGTGCAATTCCATGAAAATTAAAAATCACCATGCTACTCTGTACAAAGCTATATATATATATATATATATATATATATATATATATGGTTGACTGAAATAAGTATTTTAAAAACTATTAATAATTTAGCCAGTGTTAACTCCATGTTTTTGTCCAAGTGTATTAATAAAAGCAGTGAAATAGGAAAAAAAAAAAATAGCCCATAGTTTAGCAGCACTAAGAATAAGTTGGAAGCATTTTGTCGTTTTCAAGGTTTTGGAAATATTTTTCCCTTACCGGGGACCAAAGAAGCTGGTTCTTCTTTCAGAGGTCCCAGATGGTGGTTTGGACATGCTGAGCTTTCCAAAGGAAGGCAGTTTACTACGATGAGATCCAAATACACACAGTAAATGGAGGAACATCATTCTACACTTAAAATGTTGGAATACATTTTTCTTTTTGCAGTTGTTCATTTAGTTTTACAGAATCATCTCAATATGTTATAACAATAACGTCCACAATAAGAAATTGATGCCCTCCTTTGTAAAATATTTATTAGCAGAATGTGTTGTGGGTAAATGGCATTTGAATAGTGCTTGATTCTAGTGGGTATGGTTTGTTGCAATAAACACAACCATAAAAAAAAAAATTACATTTATGAATCCAAAAAAAGATACACTGCGTAATAATATACAAATATGTGAGAGATAAAAGTTAATTTTAAACAAACCTTTGAGGTGTTGTGTACACCATACTCATCCTGTTGCTGTCTTGAACTCTCATCGGCATGTCTGATGGTCGGCTGCCTGCTCGGCTTTTCCTTCCACTTGATACAATCAGAAATAAAGCATACGTTTATATATCTAATAAACAGCTGTTACATAAAAGGCAACATTTGTAGCTACCAATTACGCTGATAATCAACCTAGTTTTGCTAGCTTAGCTGTCACAATCTGAATATAAAATAGCTTGTCGGGCTAATCAGAGAGAATGCCATTTTTTTTAAATGAATCTAACGCAAATTCACGGAACATAAACTCAATATACACAATACGACTTAGTGAAACAAAGTTTGAAAATGGATATAAACCTCATAAATCGGTCAGCAAACATCGCGGCAGCTGACTTTAAATTTAACGGTTGTCGGTTAACAAAAGCGACTCATCCAAGCAGGAAGGACATATTATACATTTTCCCTGAATTTAGTTTTCCTGCTAGATTTAATTCAGAAAAGTAACACTTACCGCTCCATATCTTAACTGTTTGATGATAAACTAATGTTTACTAAATCAAAAGTTCATCCGACTTAATCCGGCGAACCCCGCCAAAACATTCCAAAATCGAACAGCGATTACGTCATACCTATACGGCGTGCGCCTCGGTCCAAACATGCTTCAACGCATCATACGCGTTCCTAGTGGAACTGCATAAAGGTTCATTTTCAGGTGTATGTGATTTATGTGATTAGCTTATGTTATCAAATAAAAAAAATAATAAAATGAATGAATGTGTCGATTATCCCATAAAGGGATGAATGACTGTAGCCATCTAGTAAATTACCTAATTTGTTGATGGTTCACTTATGGCTCACGAAGTGAACACGAAATTTATCTAAATACTTTGAAAACATGCAACATTTTTACAATTTGGGACAATTTACTTAAACCGTTTTTGACGGGGTTAATAACATAAAACAAACAAAAAAGAATGTAATTAATATGGACATTGTGACCACATTTAATTATTTAATTAAGCTGAGTAAAGACTTTTTAGAAAGCGCCAGCACAATTTCTGGACAATTGACACTTAACACCGGCAATGATGTCCAAATCTTTCAAAATTTAATTCCTTCAGTTTTAATATCCTGTATTAAATTTTCTGTTACTGGGTCTATTATAAAATTTAATTTAAAGTGTCATTGTGGCACATAAAACAGAAACCAACATCTGATTGATTAACATGCACTTTAAGGAGAATTTGCACCGACTCAGTTTGGTGTACAAGGCCAAATCATGAAATAAATTGACAGAGCGACAGGCTAAGTTATTTAAATGTGTAAGATTGTGATTGCATGAACACAAAGTTTGATGAATTTCCCCTTTTTGCTTTAAATACATTATTGCAAGATTTAAATAATTAGAGAAAATGTTATTTGATGCATGTATTTCAAATTTTATTTAAATTATTGGGTATATAAATATTTAACAACTTATTTATTGAACTGTGGCAGTTTTGTCCCTCTATACTGGAGAAACAAACACATCGTATGTTATTTGTTTTGGGTCTATGGACTTGAAACCAATGCTCGGCATTACTGGTATAAGCTTACTGTCACATAGAAAAAGTTCACCCTAAGCATTTCAATGCAGTTACAACAACTCATTCATTATTTTTCATTTGTAAAATGAACTCATATTAACACTTTGAGCAGACAAGTGACAAAGAGAAGTAGAAAATTTATTGCAGTATTTGTTCCACCAAAAGGGTATGAATCCCCTTCCTCGTATTACTAGGGTGACCTAATACAACAAAATCTACATTTACAAAATATCCTCCTGCAATAGGCCACATATACTGCATGCGTAGTTCGAAATAGAATAAATTATATTCAGAGGACTCTGCCATTGTACAGCATGGACAAATAAACGTGAACAAAAATAAAAAATCTTATTTTCTTTTTTACTTTTTTTCCCCCAGATATCTAAAAGCTAAAAGGAAAAACCCATCAGGGTGCTAGTCATATAATAAACTCCAAAAAACACTTTAATAAGAACATCAAAAAGACTAATTTCCAACATTCACTTAAGGTTTTATTCTTTTTTTTTTTACAGCTTTTTTTGTATTCAGAGATATAAACATTTTCGTTTTTTTGTCATGTTAAACTATGGTACAGTGGGAGTAGAAATGAACGACTAGAATCTGCTGCACAACAGCGAAGGAGCTCCCACAACAATGTTGACAAAACATTTCCCTCCAGGTCTCTCTTCTGATAGCCTTCTAAGGGATAATTTGGGTGAATTATTCCTTTAATGCCTTCAGGATTCTATCCTCTGAACATTTACACAAGCAAAACATGAACAAGTCCCTCTAATATAAGTCTCGTGTTTTGTGTCATTTTTGCAAGAGTAAGTCATGTAAAAGTATGTAGTGTCAAATATTCTTGCCCTCTTGTGTTCTCTTACAAAAATGAGGAAGAGGGGCTAGGTAGGAATCCAGTGAAGTTTGGCTGTGTTGTTGGAGGTGACAGGTTGAGGAGGAGGAGGAGCAGGGAAGGAGAGGATTTTCATAAAGTAGAAATGGAACAGGGGAACCGAAACAAACAAGAACAAAAATAAAAATAAAAATAAAATAAAAAATACAGGAGCCATTAGCTAGCCCCTCCCTCCCGTGCTGCATATAGTGAGCGTAAAGTCTGTACAACTTTGTTGCTCAGTTTGTGGTTGCTGGTCAAGGCAATCTTTTTGTAAATGATGTCCGACTCCTTAATAGTGTCCACCCAAGGCACCAGTTTACGGCCGTCCCTTTTCTTGGCCTCTGCCCAGGGTCCAGAGTAAGAGCCTGCCATCCAGTGGATGGTGTATCCGTTGGGAGTCTTTTGGGTGACTCGAGCTATTTGCGGTCGGTCCTTGTATTTGGGGCAACAGAGGGCAATCACATCCATAGCTTCCACCGTTTCACTCATTCGGCCTGGATCCGAGGGGTCGCCGGCTCGCCTTGACCTTCGAGAGGACTGCCGAGGGGAAGAAGTTTTAAAATCGTTAGTTTCAGCTCAACAGGAGCGACTAAACATTGAGTGAATCTATCCGTCTCACCCCTGGGGTCCTTTCGTCAATATCGCTGTCGTCGTCATCCGTCTCTGGTCCCGCCTGATTGCGGGGGCTGGGTCCCGACATGGGCCCAGAGCCTCCCAACAGGGCGTTTATGGCTTTGTTTCTGATGTTGGCGCTGGCAGATGCCTCTCCTTCCTCGTCCTCTTCATCTGGATCCAGGTGTTCCATCAGAACCTTGAACTGTGTGCAACAAAGAGACATTTATTTCAAAGACCAGCAACTTGGTACCATCTGGAAACAAGACACACTTAGGCGACCCTGTCAAAGAGATTACAGCGCAACGTTTTACAAAGACTGATCTGAAACATATCTGCTGCTTTATTACTTACGTCCAGATACTGTTTGACTATCCGCCTTTTTACATCCTCCGTCAGCGAGGCGTTGCTCATGTTGTTGAAGATGAAGTCCAAGGTTTGTCTTGGGTGGAAGTTCACGTTGTTTTTCCTGTTCACTGCTTTATCGTACACCTTCGCTGACTCCGTTGGAGAGTACTTCTGGATTTTACTGTTGAGAGACGGAGAACGCTTCTTGAAATTTCAAGAGTTGAGCGATTCCAACTTTTGCTGAATTATCCAAACATGTAGCATGCGCTCTGTTCTAGACTCCTGATGACAACAGAGTCACGAAATGAGTTCAAAACTAAACCAGAGGATGGAACTCAACATTATGGTGATGGTAAACAGGCCCACCAAACTCAAGGACTTCAACTTTATTAGAAAGTTGAATTATCATTATGCTGATAAACATTCTTCCACTGACTATTGAAAAGGGTAAAAAAAAAAATGTTGACATTTTGTTGTTAAAATGTAAATAAAAAGTCTGAATAATTTGGAGCCTTAGTATATATTTCAATATTTCTAAATCTATTATTCCTTTTGACTACATTAAACACGACACGGCTGAAAATGATGTAGTCTGAACATGAATTCTGACAGAATCTTACCTGTCAGAAAATCCATACAGGTTCTTTAAATGCTGTTTGAGCACGAGGAGAAGCAAGATGCCCTGAACCGCATTGGCGAAGTCCAAGAGACCTATGGGATTATCTGGCAGAAGCCTCATTACTTTTTCCACATCCTCAACATCCAAATCCTCGAAGTCGGATTCAGATTCGGAGCTGTCTGAGTTTTCAATGGGTCTTCTTGACTTCTTTGGCCGATGCACCACTTCGTCGTCATTGTCTTCGTTTTCGTCACTGTTGCAGTTTTCCTCTTCGTCACTTCTGGAAGAATCGCAGTTCATCTTTCCCTCTTCATCTTCACCATCAGACGTGTTTTTCCACACCTTTACTTTCTTTTCCTTCCGTCTTGGCTCCTTTAGCAGAAGCTGAAAAGAAAAAAAAAAAAAATTCACGAAAACCTAAAACCACTAAAAAAAGATCTTGTTTTTTTGTCTGTGGGATGCAACATAATTATTGGTCAAAATAAAAGCTGCTAAGTAGAACTGCAGGGCTATTTAAAATATAAAATAAAGTTCACTATATGTCTGCAGTGGGGAAACTTTAAACATGAAACGTGGAAAAAGAAAATGACGTAACAACGGTGGAAGGAAGGAATCAGAGGTGGGACATATGACTCTAGGACAAAAAGAATATATAGGAAGGACATGAGGTTGTGGAACAAAAGGAATTTGGAAAAGAAACAGAATTGTATTGAAATGCAGAAGACTGACCAAAGGACACTTTAGACAATGGAGTATGGGATAAAGTCTCAAAGAACAAATATTTTTTTTAAAACCTTTTGTTCATACTTATGCAGACCTAGAAGACATTGAAATCAAATTTTTATGCTTTTTCAGACTTCTCTATATTGTGGAGGAACACTGATCCTGTCAACTTACCTCTTTAAAGGTTTGCAACAAGTTGCTGCCAGAAACAGACAGTGTGATGTCTATGTGGTGCATGATGAAGAGCGGCTCTTCTTGGCTCTGGTATGGGAAACAAGCCAAGTTGTCGGCGATAAACAGCAGCATGTTTACTTCCGTCTTCTGCAGAACCGCACGAAAACAAGGACAAAACAGATTTACAGCCTATGACAATTTTACTGCACTGACAAACAACAACTCTTCCTTAAAATAAATGATTACTTGGTATGTGATTTATAAGAAAATACCAATTTGCAAAAGGGTCTACAAAGAAGTAGAGGGTGGACTTACAGCACTGTCATCAAAGAGGTTCAGTAGTGAGATGAGGAAAGCCCTCCGATGTTGCCGGTTGCCCCGGATCATCGTGTAGAGGTGGGAGCAGAGAGCAGAGTGTGTCTCATCGTGCCTGAAGCCTCTTACAATGCTTTTACGAGATGAATTGATGGCCTGCTGCAAACTGTACGACATCTTCATCCCTGCAACTGCCTTCATCTGTAATGTTGTGGGGGGGAAAAAAAAAAAAAAAAAAAAAAAAAAAAAAAAGAGTTTAAGAGTAGGCAGAAATTTCAAACCCTTGTTTGTTGAGGTCTAGTAAATCTGGCTGTTTTTCTTTTAGTTCTATACAGGAAAAAAGGAAACATGCATGTAGAATATGTTGCAAAA